TGGTGTTTGTGTGTGTTTCGAAGCATTTCCAGTTCAATAAAATGCCGAGAAAAAAAAAAAAGAACACATTCGTTGTGATTAATGTTGCTTGTTCATGTCACAGGAGATATAATAGAGATATTGTTTAGAAAAACAACACAGTCTCTGTATTGGAGGACGGGTATTATACATAAGACAAACCCACTTTTGTACTCCATATACACTTATAATATCCATTTTAGGATCATATTACGACAAACTGTAAATACACTACATCCAAAATTATTTGACTAGCTCATGAATATTAATTAGGTTGCGCCGCCGTTCCTGCTTGGCGATCTTTCCAGTTGCGTAACCTAATTAATATTTAAAAGCGAAGTCGCATTGTGATTCTTTGATTGGCCGGCTACGCTTACCGACGTCTGCTTTCAACCAATCAGCGAAACGGACGTAGCGTTGCGTAATTAATATTCAAGAGGCGTCGCGTTTCGTGGGCGGGGCTTCGCGTTACCGGTGTGTTGGCAGCCGGCGGTTCGTTTCGGGCTGAACGGCCGAGGAAACGGTGCCAGAACCGGGATGAAATACCGCCTTAACACACGATACTAAACTTCCGCATCGGACTGAGAAATACAGTAAGTATATGATGCAACATTCAGGAAATTTTCAAGTCTTCAGCCGCGTAAAGGGTTAAATCCGGTTACTAATCGAGTTGCTTCAGTCTAACGAAAATTAAGTTTTCCAAGAAAATCTATATATTATCGGCTGACTCACTAACAGCAAAAACAAATGTCTGAACGCTCATAAGTTTCGTTTATAACAGTGTAAAAGTCGTATGGATGCGAGGTTGATATCGAAAGAACTCTGAATTAATGTATTAATAATCATACATCGAGGAGGGACAAACATTAAGAAGGCTCAGATCCTCCAGAATGGCTATTTGTGAGCAGATTATGCTGTGTGTTTGTGAGTGAATTGTGTAAACAAAGCTGCGCGTGTCTGCCGGAGTATCCGCGCATGCGCAGACCGGGGCACTTCCGGCCGTTCAAAGTTAAAGGGGTCATGTGATGCTTTTTTAAAGATCATTATTTTGTGTATTTGGTGTAACAGAATATGTTGACATGCTTTAATGTTCAAAAAACACATTATTTTTCAAATACTGTACATTATTGTAGGCCCTCTA